AAAAAAAAGGAAAAATAAATAAATAAAAAAAAAGAAAAGAAAAAAAAAGGAAAAATAATTATATAAGAAAGTAAGTAGCTTTGTGCATGATGGTAGGCATGGGTGTAATTTTGTCAAGTGGAAAGCCAGTTTTTCCAGCACCATTTGTTGAAGAGGCTATCTTTCTTCTAGTGAGCTTGTTTAGCCTCTTTATCAAAGAGAAGGTGGCTGAATGTTGGCAGTTAAGTCTGAATCTTCTAATCTGCTCCATTGATCCTCAGGTCTGTCTCTATGCCAGTATCATGCTGATTTTATCACAGTAGCTTTATAGTATAATTTCAGGTCAGGGATTGTTATATCTCCTGCCTTTCCTTTGTTTCCAAGGATTGCTTTTGTCATTCTAGGTCTCTTCTTATGCCAATGGAATTTCAGAAAAGTTTTCTCTAGCTCTGTGAGGTATACTAATGGCATTTTAATTGGTATTGAATTGATTCTGTATGACAATTTTGGTAATATGGCCATTTTAACAATGTTCATTATTCCTATCCATGAGCATGGAATATTTTTCCTTTTTCTCAAATCCTCTTCTATCTCTTTTCTCAGAATACCATAATTTTTACTGTAAAATCTTTAACGTTCTTTGAGAGATTGATTCATAAATATCTTTGGGGATTTTTTGCATGTTATTATGAAAGGCGTGGCTTTCCTAATTTCATCAGTGTGTTCATTCTTTCTGTACAAAAATGCTACTGATATTTGTGTGTGGCATTTACATCCTGCTACATTGCTGAATTTGTTCATTCAATCCAAAAGTCTCTTGGTGGAGTTTTTGGGGTCCTCTATGTAGAGTATCATGCCATCTTCAAATAATCATAATTGACTTTCTTTCCAATCCATATTCCTTTTATTTTTCTTTCTTGTCTAATTCCTCTGGCTAATGTTTCCCAAACTGTATTGAGTAGGAGTGGAGACAGTGGACATCCTTGTGCTGTTCATGATTTTAAAATGAAGGCCTTTTCACAGCAATATATGTTTATAGCAGCACATTTTGTCATACCTAAATCCTGGAAACAACTCAGATGCTCATCAACCATAGAATGAATAAAGATGTGGTATTTTTGCATAAGGGAGTATTATTCAAGTATAAAACAGGGTAAACTTGAGTCTTTTATCAGTAAATTGATACAACTGGAAAATGTATTCTTAAGTGAAATGAAGAGACTCACATGTGCAAACATTGTATTGTCTCCTTAGTGTGAGAACCTGAAAAAGAAAAATACAACCTGGAAGGTACAATAGATATTGGCAAAAGGAAATGAATTTATTCAGAAAGGAAGAGTTACTGAGTTCAAGAGGACAGGAGAGGGAACTGGAGAAAGAGATTTATCTATGTATGTAAGCAGGAAGATTTGGATAACTGTTCTGTGCGTTTCTGCTGGTCTATGGAAAGAAGCAGTTAGTGGTTTAATTTGTTTCATCTCCTTTTTTCAGTTGTTTGTACTCTTCCTCTTTTTAATTTGCTATACAATTTTTTCTTTCTTTCAGTTTTCCACACATATATCTGATAATATGAATACCTGGTTGGAAGGCAACAGTATGTACTACAACAAATTCTGTGAAATTCGTATTACTTTGTTAAATGAAAATCTGTGTCTCTTGTACTTCTTTCTGTTTGAATTCTAATTTGTACTCTCTTTGAAAAATAAAAAATAAAAAGAAATAGGGAGAGTGAAAAAGGAAAAAAAAGAATTAAAAAAAGAACACAACACAAATTAAGCATTAACTGTTCCTTTTCATAGACCAGGAGAAATCCACAGTACAGTTGTCCAAAACATCTTGTTTACATATATAGATATATCTCTTTGTCTCATTCCTTCTGCTGTCCTTCTCCTCAATTCAGTAATTACTTCTTTTTGAATAGATTTATTCCATTTGCCCAATTTTTACTGTATGCTTCAGATTTTATTTTCTCTCTCAGTTTCTTACACTAAAGACATAATGCTACATTTTATACTTTACATTCTTAATACTTATGTATGTATATTTTTCTTTGTTTTCATTTAGTGGAGTTCTTTTAGAACAGATGGTTGATATAAAAATAAAAGGGAATTATTCCTTTGTAAAACTAAAGAAAATTAAGCCATAGCATGTGGAGAATATGGGGGGCATAGTTCTGTATTCTGGGGAAAAAACATCTTCTGGGCTGCCTCTCATTCATTCAGAGGCTGGCTTTGAATCTAAGTTTGCAATTGTGACTGTGCCTGTGTTCCCATGTGTATTTCCACAGTTTCCAGAAATGCAACCCTCACTTCCATTGTTAATCTCCCCTGTCATGTATTTGTGGGTTCCCTAGATTGCCAAGAGCACTATGTGTGACCCAGTTAGCAAACATTTGCATAAACCTTCACCTAAAATAAATAAATAAATAAATAAACCTTCACCTTTCATTTTGCTTGATGAAAAGTAATAACTGAACTTGCTTGTCTACTGTACAGCATAAAGTGAGGATAAAGAACTCAAGACAAAACCACTTTAAAGGACTTTCTAATTTGTCGTAGAAGAAACTTTATGCTCTTAAGAGATAACTGTTGCAAGGTACAAAGTTTCTTACCAATGGTTTTCATTTAAATTCAAACAAATCTAAAAATATATAAGATTTGCTTACAGAAATTGCAAAACTAGTGATCAGTGATCAATAAGCATCCTTAAGCCCACTAATTTATTGCAAATTGCCAACAATGCAATGAACTGTGAAAATGAAGATTGATTTTAGAGAATACAATTGTTGCATCGACGACTTTTTCTTAAAATAAAGCAACTCTCATGCCATTGTTCCACTATCTCTGCCTTGGAATGACTGGGCAATTAGAGTATAGTATGATTCTAGATCAATTGAAGTGAAATAATAAATGGGAACTGATTCAAGAATATTCATAGATGCAGTGGAATAGTGAGTTACTTTGTCAAGTTAATAAATTTATGATTTGGTGCCTAAAATTATCCTCCATTATTTCATATTTGGATATAATTAGCAGTCCTTATCCCAAAACAAGCACAAGAACCTGCATTTGGGCAGACAGCACTTCAAAATGTAAAGTGAAATGCAGTTAATAGGTAGTTCTCATCCAATAGCACTGGTGCCCCATGAGAAGAAATTAGATTTTTCCAGGTGCTCGGGGAAGGCCACATAGAAACAACAGGGAAAACAGGCATGTAGGAGCCAGCCCGCCCGTTCTACAGAACTGTTCTACAGAGAGAAACAGTACCTGCAGAATTTTTGATTTTAAAATTGTGTGAAAATAATTTTATTCTTTTCCTACCTGCTCCAAAGCATTTCGATATGGCAGTCTTGGTGCCATTTAGATTGTGTATTAAAACAATGTTAGTAATATTATACATACTTGTCTTATAATTAGTAATTAAAAATGAAATGTGTGAATTTCATTAGGTATGTATAAAGTTTGTAGTATAAAATATGCCCAGCCTATGAATGAGTTTTCTATTGGTGGAAAGTTCATAAAACGTATTCATTCATAAATTGGACAAAGTGAGTCTTACAAATTACACATGAAAATTGACAGCTCGAGTTTGTGTTCACAAAGGAATTAATCTGTTTATGGAACAAGGAAGAATGCTTAGTTAGAAGCACATAATGTAATTGCCCAATAGATTGGAAAGACCTGTGCATACTGGTCACATAGTAAGTAGGCTGGGGTCAGAATCTTTACGGTGTGCTTCCAGATGAAATCGAAACAGAGGAGGGCTTCTTAGAGAGCCCTCTCCTAGGAGTCTTCATGAGAAGATATAAAAACTGTTTGAGGGTTAAGAGAAATATCTACCTTTATAGTGACAATTTGGATAGGTGACTGTGTAAGAGAGTTAATGGACTGACACTGAGTAACAAATGCCTAACTAACTTGAATTAACACAGTGCTGGGTGTGGTAGGCTGGAGACCTGCCCAAGGCATGAGTGACGGTAACCAATAGGGTTGCTGCCTGAGAGGGGAGAAAGGAAATGAGGACCGACAGCTCACGGCTGCTTTTCTGGAGGAGGGCTCCACGCTTTTGTCTTCTCTTGGATGTGTTCTCTGGGCTTGCAGTGCAGAGCCTTCATCCTTCCCCGGCAGAACTTTGGGCCCGCAGTAAGGACGCCGATTGGGCACTGCTGTGAGCTCCAGATTTCAACCCAGTCGTCCGCCTGCACCGCGCAGGAGCACTTCTGCTGTTTGCACCTTTGGATTCTGTCGGCGTCGCTGTAAGCAACCTGACACATCCTTACATTCTGTGTACCTTGCTTTCAGTCTGTTTCTGAGCGAGCACGCATTGGCAGTGCGTCAGAACTGACAGCAAAGTGAAGAGGGCTTCAACACTGAAATGCAGGGAGAAGGTGGGGCCAGTTTTCAAATGGTATAGAAATTGGTGTAGTTAGTAACTTCTTGGCAAATTCAAAACAAAAGACACTTCTGTTGCAATATAAAGTTATATTATTAATATGAGAAGTATGATTCCATATTTACCCTAAAGTGTTGTGTCAACTTTATAAAATTTGTACCAAGATCCTTAGAGTGTATAATGTTGCTATTATCAATCTGTGAAATTTTGTCATATTAGCATATGTTCTACTTATGTTTGAAATTTAAAAAGTTGGTTAAAACTGTAGAAATATTATAGTTATTATTAAGATCAAGTGGTAAAAGTGTTTATATACATCTGGTAATGTTGTCCCACTTAATATAAATTTGAATTTTATTCATATACCACATAAAATTTAAAGATTCTACTTTTATCCAGGACATACTATTAGGTATAAATGAAGAATGTTTCCTAATTACTATGAGATTTGGGGAAAAAATACTATTTACAAAGGTTTTTTTCACATACAAGCGAAGTGGTGTGAGTGGATATAAGGTAGGTTGATTACAGAACCCATGATGAACACAAGATAATCGCAAGAATTTTAGCTATCACTGAGGTAAAAGATTGAGGAAGAAAATTAACCCACATTCCCCAGTAATGTATATATTTATCTATTCCTTCATTTATTTGGTGCAGGGTCTTGCTCTGCAGCTTGACCTCACAGTGATTCTCCTGTCTCAGCTTCCCCAGTACTGGGATTATAGGTGTGCACCAGCAATCCCAGTTGTGGTGGCTGGCGAGGCATGTGGTACCAGGAATCCAACCTGGGTCCTTGCACTTCCCAGGCAGGTTCTTAGGCCACTGAGCTATCTCCGCAGCCCTAAAGTGTACTCTTTCAGAGCAACATTGTCTTACATTATTGTGGTGACAGATGTAGTTTGTCACTCTGAAACAGGAAAAATAAGATGAAAGGTGGCAGGATGGGTGTCACTGACTGAGTTCTCCAGGTGCAAGAATGTCTTATATTGATTGATCCCCTTATGAAATATCTGGCCATGACTGACATTGATTCCTGGACAGAAGAAACCAGCTGTCCTTGTTGCCACACAGAGGGATGCATGGGGAAATGCGATGGATGAAGGAGGATATTTCTGGAAAGTGATGCACACCTAGTGAAGGTTCAACAATTCTGCCATGTTTATGTAAAGAAGGAAACTAAACACTGCTGTTGGATGGCTCTTAGTTTGCAGAAGCCAAACTGACCTAAGGGTACAAGGAGGAATAAAGCGAAAGAGAGAACTTTCCTTTCCTAGCACACAGGACCAGGGTCTCTGGTCACAAGGGAGAAGAACAGTAGGAGTCTAGAAGTTTTTGTTTTTATTATTAAAATAGGTTGATGTAGAAATAGTGTAATGTAAGGGCTGGTCAAATAGCTCAATGGATTAAAGCTCCTGAAAGCAGACATAGGGGCTGGGGGTTCAATCCCTGGACCTGCTATGCTGGCCCTGCCCCTGGGGCATGCTGAGATGGCAATTGAGACTGGGCATGGTGGTGCGGGCCTGTAATCCCAGCACTTGGAAGGCTGTAACAGGAGAATCACTACGAGTCTGATCTAGTAGTGAGACCCTGAACACCCAGTAAAGCTTTCCCCAAAAATACGAAAGAAAGAAAGAAAGAAAGAAAGAAAGAAAGAAAGAAAGAAAGAAAGAAAGAAAGAAAGAAAGAAATTGAAATAATGCAATGTAGTGTTCAAGGAAGTGCAAACAATTAGCAAGTAACATAACTACTTTACAAGCATATATGGAATTTTCCTTCTTTATCCCTTTGCTGATGTTTTTCTGCCCCGTGGGTGTTTTGAGGACCAGCATTCTCACACAGTCAAGGCATGTGACGGCCTTCCATCCGTGCTTCCATCCTCAGGGAAGGTCAGCAAGGCCCAGGCTCTGTGCCTAGTCACATAGCCTGGTCTCTCACATCACTCCCTTTTTCTTTTGTAGTTGCATTAGTTGAATCATGCTCAGACAAGGCTGCATAGTTCTCAAACCTTATTTTGTCTTCACTCCCAAGTGGCAGACTACAAATAACACTGCAACAGATTGATCATAAAAACACAACAACGTGTTATACATTCCAACGTGAGCGCCCGTACATATATTCACGTAACCTAACACATTGACAAATCACTCCCTCCTTATTCTTGCTTGTTGATTTATACACAGTGCAGGCTATGATGGTTATGACAGCAAGATAAGGATGATCAGGAAGATGTGGAAGACCCTGTCTTGACAGCAAATATGGAGCATCCTGTGCGGTCCTCACTTGCCCACATCATCAGTCTTGCTGCTTGGGTGCTGGTCAGAGGCTGCTGTGTTGGAACACTGCTCAGAGACCTCTGGGAGAGTGCTCAGGCTGGAGGGAAAGGTGGAATCAGATTCCACCACAGGGCAGGAGGAGCTCAGTGTTTTTTCTCCATTGTCTCGATTCCCAGGACGGTAGCCACCTAAAAGATGGTAGCCACAAATACACCCTCATCCTGTGGTTACTAAGGTTTTTGAGTTGCTCACATCTGCCAATGTCAGATCACTTCCATAATTTTTATACTTCCTTCTTTCATATTTTTTATTAATTTTAAAACTGAAAAAATAAACATAACTATGAGACCAAGTATGAAAACAGAGTAGTAACACGGTCAAAATATTTAAAGTTGTGTGTTGTTGTCTTCCAGTAGTTGCTCAGAATAGAACACATAGGCCTTTCCACTTATACCTTGTGAATTTATCTGCCAGTGTAACTCTGCAATGTTAAATTCTTGATTCTTCAAATTAAAAAAAAATAGATACGAATCTAGGTTAAGATATGCCTCTGGGTTCTTGGTGTGGATCTCCCCTTTTTGTTTTACAGTGGCATGGACTAGTTCTACAACTGCCTACACTGTGGATTGTGGGATACCGTAAGTTACGCAGAATTCCCCAGAGCAGCAGTTAAGAGGTAAAGCCCTCGCTCTTCCAGTTTTATCAATCAGCCTTTATTTTCTTAGATATCCAGCAAAGCCGCAAGACACTATCATTTCACACGGCCTGTGGGTTGCCACAGATGCTGGGACCTGGACACTGTTTTAATACTGCCAGATTGACCATAATAGAAACACTTCGCATATTCTTATGTCCTTCTTTAGCGTGACTGAACACAGTCTGGGGCCCCATAACGCTCAGGCCTTCTAGGCCCACAGCTTGTCATATCCTAATAGAATAACGAAAGGGTTTTTTTTCTTAACTTTCACCAACATTTGCTTTTGATCTTTTTGACATTTTCAAAAGCAAGTGAAAAACAATAATTTCACAGAAATTTAGAAATCAAACCATATACAAAATTGTAGCGGTACAGTCCTGCTACATTTTGTTTTCCTTGTTCCTCATTTATTTTTATTACTTTTTTGTTACAGACATTTATTTTAAAGAGAATATAGCAATAATTGACATGACATTAGAAGCAGTACACATTTAGGAAACCAAAGTGACAGATATTTTAAGCATGGCTTTCTCTGACAAAACAAAATTAAAAAGAGGGATATAAGTAAAGCACCATTTTTTGTGAAAAAAATATATATACACAAGATAGAATAGATACACAGCTTTCTCTTAGTTCAATGAGAAGAAAGGTTTGTACTAATATTGTTTAGACAAGATGTTATGTCTGCATCTTGTCCTCTGAATAACTACTTTGACGACAACAATATGCAATGTATCAATTATTGTAACTGTCCTACTAACCTGTTTTGAAACTATTTCTTTGCTATTTTTTCTTTTTTCCTCATTAAAATGCATCAAAAATAAATATACAAAAATAATAATTTCTCCACCCTGAGCTTGAAGAATATGACTTTCTTTAGCTTCCAGAAGCATTTCTAAAGAGCTGTGCACATGGTGCTGTAAAGCCTCGTGAGGTATGGAGACATGAGGGACCAGAGTTCTTTCTTCAGGCATCATAGCCAGAGGCCTGTTTATCTTGAAGCTATTTATTGATATGCTTCATCTGGATAGGTTACTTCTGCCCTGAATCAGAATAGCAATAGTTCCCAAGAGCATACTGTCAGCAATTATAGGTTGTGCAGAAGCTTTTTATTTTTTTTTTAAATGTATTTAGTACAGGGTCTACAGGGTCTCACTGCACAGGTCTACCTCGTAGTGATCCTCCTGTTTTCAGCCTCCCAAGTGCTGGGGTTACAGGCATGTGCCACCACCCCAGCCTCAATCACTGTCTCAGCATGCTCTGGGGGCAGGGCCAACATGGCATACGGGATTGAATCCTGGTTGCTGCCCCTGTGTAAACAGGTGCTTTAGTCCACTGAGGTATCTGGCCATCCCAGAAGCTTGGTTTTGACCAGTCTATTCATTAACCAATTCTGGCAAAGGCACATGAAAATGGAGACCTCTTCTCGCTGACTCACAAGATCCAGCCAAGTACTAAGTATCTAAGGGGATAACGTGCAAGGTGTCTTAGATGTGTTTTAAAAGGACCTATGTGAAAGGACTATGGACACCATTGCTTTTTACATTGTGCTTCAACTCTTTCAAGAATTCATTTTGCACAGTATTATGCTCAAGGATTAGCTGTCTGCAATTATTAAGATTAGGGTGTTTCTTAATAGAAAAACACAGGTTCCCAATGGTTCCCCACAGAAAGTAGCCTGGCACAGTAATTGTTCCTAAGGAGTTGTGTACATTTTCCTTTCACCTTTAGAGAGATCCAGAGAAGCAGGGAGCTGAGAGTCCCCTTCTGATGACAATATATTGTCTTTAGGCTGAGCTGAAAGACCACGGTCGGCACAAGTACAGCACAATCCAAGCACTGTGCACACCAGTCTCCATGCTGAAAATATCTCAGGAGAAATAGTGTCCCATGATGAAGAGAATCACTTAAGGTTTCCCACCACCCAGCCCCAGTTATCAATATTTAGCTAATATACACACTTGGGGAAACCAAACACTTTACTTAACAATTTTTGTCGTGTTTTTGAGAAAGACTGCACGCTATCCTGTGTTTCTGCCTGCTTTAAGAGTGTTTAAGTCACTGCATATAGCTTTTCTCTTTAACAGGCAAATATTGCCACATATCCCTAATATGAAGATTGTCCAAAGGCACTTACTTATCCACTCCCATCCAGCCTTTGGATTCCTCCCCTAGGGACTTCCTGTCACTATTTGCATTGCATACCCAGAGGGAAGTCCTCTCTTCAGGACCCTGTTCAGGGACCAATTTTCAGGAGACAGTCTACAAACTGAAGTCAGAGGACAACAAGAAAGGAAAGGCAATGAAACAAAATTTCAAGAAAGGAGCACAGGGGTCTCCAATGTGAGTAAGACAAGAGAGCTGGGGCTCTAAAAAGGCCTGTTTTTATTAGTAAAATAACAAGATTTAGCAATCTTGCAATCCAGAGTTCTATAAAATGTAACAGTTCTAGAAAATGTTCTAGAACATGAAAATGTAACAGGAACATGACAATTTTATACCATAATATTGAATTGTCTTTGCTTACACTGACCAGAAGCTGTCATGATCTGGGTGTTGTTGGCATCCTCCTCTTGCTCATAAACAAGAGAGGAAACAGCCTTCCCACCCTCTCGGGTTCCCAGGAAAGGTCCACAAACCTCAGTATCTGTGGCTGATCACCAGCCTGGCCCTGTACAATAGGAACTTGTTTTACTGAGTGAACCAAGGATTTTAGATTTTAACTGAAAGGCTAAAATAGGTGAAAGACTCATGATTGAATGATTTCTATGCTCTTATGTATAAAGTGACTACACTAAAAACCTTAATTTTTTTCTGTTTTTGGCATAACTGGGGATTGTACTCTGGTCCTTGTGCTTGCCAAGGAAGCACTTATTCTACTGAGCCATCTCCCCTGCCCCCTTAAAAACCTTTATTAATAACAATAATCACACACTCAGAGTTTTACCTTTGAAATTTTGAGGCTCTGTGTGTCTTTCTGTCCAAGTACAGCTGCATTTTTGCTGCTGCCTGGAGGTAGGTTCACGTTTCCATCCATGTCTGAAACTTCCAGAAGATCACTAGAATGAAGTCTTATAGCTCCTTTCTTTGTCCAAAGATTTAGCGCTCAAATTATATCTTGTGAGTGAATCCACAGTTGAAGATTATTGACAACTGAGTGAATGGCGGTGCACTCCCAGGTGAGTCTCAAAGTTCTTGTCTACTAAAACAGCAAATTACTGAAAGCAGATAGTAAGTCCTAAGTATACGTAGGAGGGATTACAATATTGAAATTCCAGGTAAATTTGTCTTGATATTGAGGTAATTATCATGGGGCATAAATCCTTTAATATCTAATTATCTATATATGTACATGACATGGATATAGATACAGTTATGCAAATGCATGTCAAGATGTTTGTGTGTAGATGTATGTGTCTACACTATGGCTTCACGTTCACAGAAGACAGTGAAGACATGTTCTTCCTCTTCTCATCTTGGGCCTTTGGGGAAGCATCTGCCTCACTACCTGTTGCATTCACTGTGGTACTTGGAGCACCGTGCTGAACACAAAGCATGGCTGTATGCGAGAAGCGGTGGCTGATTCACTGAGCAGGCGCAGTCCAACACGAGATAAAGACGATAAAACTAAGTCTATTCACTGTGGATGAATTCAAAAATTTGGGAAGTTTGGATCAGAGATTTAGAATTGCTTACCATCAATTCTAAAAATTAATAAATTAGGGAGTAGATAATTGAATGTTAAAGAAATAAAACTTAAACAAATGTACCTGAAGTAACTATTGTCAATCTTACCTAATAGGAAGTCACAATTTTTCATTTCTGTTGCTGTATGCTATTCTTGCATGTTATTACTAATTTACTGAGGTGGGGTATTTATGAGTACAGTGGGAGAATACCTAAAAGGGAAATTGAAGACCCTGGAAATTCTTTGAAGGATTTATTACATACTGCATGTACAATGCTTGATAGGTTCTCTTACACATGAACCAAGAGACAGTAGTCACGCATCAGACTTTGAATAATAATGTTTAGTATTCAGAGAAAACTGAGAATAGTCCTAGCTCAGAAAATTCTGGACTAGGACAAACTACAGTGAACTAGTTAAAGAGGATTGTGGCTAGTGCTGCTTCACTTTTGTCCCCAGCCTCATTCAGCGAAGTCCCATCTAGCACAGAGAAAATGCATCCTTAGATAGCAACAGTCATGCAATTAATCCAGTTACCATGGATGGGGGTGATTCCTTCTAGGTTCTGTGGACTTTTTAGAGCAAAAACAAAACACGTATGTATCAAATATTTATGAGAAAGGGAAAAAACTTTGGCTATTTCCAAATTCATATCAGAATATTAAATGATTTTAAAAAGAGGAATATAAAGTATAATAATGGAGAATTTGAAGCATAGTCTTTTTAAACAATGACAAATCAATAATGATAATAATTTACCTTTTGGGGCTGGAGAGATGGCTCAGTGGTCTAAAGCACCTACTTAGAACAAGCTTAGCAAAAGCATCAGGGACCGCGGTTCAATCCCCCAGCACCACATGCCAGCCAGCCCGCCCCCTGGTGGGCTGAGCTGGCCTCTCTCTCTCTCTCTCTCTCTCTCTCTCTCTCTCTCTCTCTCTCTCTCTCTCTCTCTCAAATAAATAAATAAATAAATAAAAATTAAAAAAAAATAGGACTGGAATTTCTTCAACATGAATAACAATAAAAACCTTATAAAAAAATAATTTACCTTTTAATGTGTTTGTAAATTTCCTTTAATAAATTGGAAAGACAATTTGCACTGGATTTTAATGGGCATTTTTAAGAACCTGTTTCATAATTTTTTTATGTATTTAGTACAGGGTCCACAGGGTCTCACTACACAGATAGGACTCATAGTATTTTCATCCTCCCAACCCCTAGGATTGCAGGCATGCGCCACCACGCCCAGTCTCAGATGCTGTCTCAGCATGCTCTGGGGGCATGGCCAGCAGGGTAAGCTGGGGATCAAATCCCCAGTCCATGTGTCAACCTAAGTAAGCGCTTTAGTCTGCTGAGCTATATGGCCAGCCCCCAGTTTTGTAATTCTTAACACCACTTTCTTGGAAGTTTTCTGAGATTTCCTATACAACATATTATTTAATAATGTCCTTAATAATTTTAGGATTTCTGAAGGGATTTCTAATTGATATCTCTGTGTGTCCAGGATCTCTTCTACCTCAGTGCCATCATAGATTTTTCATGCAATGAATATTGTATCTAATTCTCTGTCTAATCTACAATGTACAATCTTCTAGGAGTTAGTGACCGCTGAAGATGTGATCCTAGAGTTCACCCCTGAGGAGTGGGCCCTACTAGACACATCCCAGAAGAAGCTGTACAGAGATGTGATGCTGGAAAACATCAATCATCTAATATCTCTTGGTAGGTCTCTCTATCAATGTATCTTCAATCATATGAAAAATCAAACATCAGTTTTGTAGAATATCCACCACATAGCCCACTCAATATTTGTCCTGATTCATTCACAGACTTTAAAGTGTGAAGAGTTCTTGTGTATCTTATTTAAAGTTACAAAAAATCTTTAAGATAATCTTATTTATTCTTTATTACTAGAAAAGCATCATCAAAGAGATCAAATCTGGGAAATAAATAATTTTTACTTATAAGTACATTTTATATCACAAAAACTATTATTTTCTATTCAGTGGGATTAGGGTAGAGCCAGATATGAAAATAAAAAGAACTGTGAGTATTCCTGAAGAATTTCATTTTCATTTTATTTAAACTCTATTCATTGAACTCTATAGATATTGTCTTTATTATTTTTTGAAATATTGTTAATTCCACATGCTCTTTATTTTTTTTTAAATTTATTTATTTATGTGGGGGGGGTGTGGGTGTCCAGCTCAGCCCACCAGGGGGCGGGGCTGGCTGGCATGTGGTGCTGGGGGATTGAACCGCGGTCCCTGTGCTTTGCTAAGCTTGTTCTAAGTAGGTGCTTTAGAACACTGAGCCATCTCACCAGCCCAAGGACTTTTTTGTTGTTGTTGTTCCTCACATGCCTTCAGGGCACGTTTGGCCAGCGGGAGAGTTGTGAGGTTCGAACTCCAGCCACCTGAGGCTGACAGCTTTGTGGAAGCAGCCACTTAAAGGACTGAGCTAGGCCCAGGCTCCTCCACATGCTCTTTAAAAAATAAAAATAAGTGAAGTATCCTCACAGGCCATACTCCTCTGGCACACATTCTCCATGCCCTCTGAACCTAGAAAAACATGTTTACCATTTTACTTCAGATAGATTTCCTCCATTTAGTCTATAAATTTATGCAGAGTGTCACCCTAAAACTCGATCAAAATTGTGATTGTCACAGAATTATTAATAATGTATTTGTGTTTATATATTTTGGATATTAATACTCTACATTCAGTGTTGTTGTCAAAGTATTTGTACAATTCTGCAATCTATTTTTTCATTCTTTTGACTATATATTTGCTGTGCAGTGTTTTTTCTCTTTGATGTCATCCAATTTTTTATCATTTCATTGTTTTTTATTTTATTTTATTGAGAAACAAATATCAGTGAGACAGTTTCAAAGCTGATTAATAGAACATTTTCAATAACTAATACATTGTACATTGTTATTTTCTTAGTGGCATAGCACAAGAAGAAGACAGGATATCCTGTCCAACCACTATTACTATAAATTTTTCTTCCCATTGAATTAAGTGAAAGTAGCTGTATATCTATCTAACTATTCTGTATATAAAAATACAAAATAGTCTTTCCTTTGCATCCCCTTTTTTTGTTTAGTACTGTCCGAGATGGATACTCTTATTCTTATATTATAAGTGCTTGAATTCAGAAAAACAATCTAACACAGTCCAGCAGTCCACAATAGTAGCGGGCTGTCTGCAGAAGTTGTTGACTAGAGCCTTTTACAGCTCAGCATATTAATATGGCTTTACTTTATATCCCTTGTTTTTATACTTTTCTGCTGGATGGTTAAGACCAAGATAAAGCAAGAACTATATAACAAGAAGTGTAACTTTTGTATCTGATGAGGTCAGTCAAGTCCTCTCAGGATTTATCCTGTAACCCTGTACTGCAGTTTGTAGATCCTTTGTCAGTGTCAGCCATGTGGATGTGTCACAGCCATTGCTTGGCCAGTTTGCTCTCTCTGAAAGCCTGAGAGAATGTTTTCTTTCCATGTGACTCTCCTTAGGCACACCATACATCATTGATCACATTCTTCTGTAACTCCATAATCTCTTTGATCAGAAAATTTGGGACACAACTGAGTTACATGATGTTACAGTACAGGTTGTCCTAAGTCCTCAGTCTTCACAGACCTTGAAAGGCTAAGGCCAAAATGTTGGCCAACCTTGCAACCCTTCCTGTTTTTCTCCAATATTTGGTCTGCAAGCTTAGGTTTTTAACCCTCCAGAAGAGAAGTTTATTATTACCCTACAACATATGTGGTTTGGTTTACCCTAACTATCTGTTTAAATATCAAACATCTTAAGCATAATGTGGAGCAGGTATTTTCAATCAAGTATTGATGCGTTGAACTTTAAGTCCTTAAGGAATATGAAGAAAAAAATTAGAAGATAGGAATAAACACATATTTTTACACAGAAATTTAGAAATCTAACCATATACAGCATTGTAGCAGGATAGTCCTGTGATTTTTTTTTTCTTTTTCTGGTGTCTTTTTTTTCATTTTTACCCATTTAAAAAAAACTTTTACTTGTGAGACATTTTGGTAATAATTGGTATGTTGTGACAAGAATTATGTATTTAGAAGACTAGAATGACAGGTATTCCAAGCGTGATCCTTCTGTTACACATTGCTATCTTCAATGCAGTTGCTTGGTTCACAGGTATCAGCATATGTAGTTAGTCAGGTTGAGAATCCTACAAATTAATTGCTAGTCTCAAAAACCTGCTGATGTTTCTCAGGATCATTGCCTTGCCCATCTTGTGCATATAAACATATGGCTTCATCCCTGTCCTGTTTCCCAGCTTTTCTCCTTGCCCTCTCCTCATTGTCCAATCCTCAAGTTCTCACTTTCCTTTTAGTTGTGTTATACCTTTCTATTTGTATTTCTTCTTTTGATTTCTTATACTAGGGAGACTATATGATGTTTACACATGTGGGTCTGGTTTATTTCACTTATGAGAATATCTTTAAGTGGCATCCACTTAGCTATAAATACTTCAAGTTTATCATTCTTTATAGCTGAGTAATAGTCCTTTATATAAAAATACCACATCTTTTTCAACCATTCCTCATGTGATGGGCATCTTGGTTGTTTCCAAGATTTAGCTATCACACATTGTGCTGCTATAAACATAGACACACATATATCACTATGATATGATGTTTTCAGTTCCTCCGGGAAAATTCCCAGTAGGGGGAGAGCTGGCTTGAATGGGATTTCCCGTCCTGGTTTCTTAAGAAATCTCCACACTGATTTCCATAATGGTTGCACGAGTGTGTCTACATTCCCACCAGCAGTGGAGAAGGGTTCCCTTTCCCCCACAGCCTCTCCAATATTTGTTGTTGCTTGATTTGTTTATGATAGCCATTCTTTCTGGGGTGAGATGGTATTTCAGTGTTGTTTTAATTTGCATTTCATGGATGGTTAGTGATGTGGAGCATTTTTTCATATATTTATTCACTTCTTTAATTTTGTTCTCTGAGAAGTGTGTGTTCATCTCAGATGCCCATTTCTGGATTGGGTCTTTAAATTGAGGGGCCATGATGTATTCTAATTCTTTGTAAATTCTGGAGAGCAGACTTTTGTCTGAGTGCTTATGAATTAAGGCTTTTTGAAATTTGCGGGTTGTCTTTTCACTTTGCTGGTAATTTCTTTTCACATGCAAAATCTTCTCAATAAGTGTTGTCCCAGTTGTCAATTCTTTCAAGTGTTACCAATGTGATTTGGTTTTTGTTCATAAACTCTTTGCATACCCCTATGTCTTCAAGAGTTCCTCCTACATTCTCTTCCAGGAGATTCAATGTTTGTGTTTAAATATTTAGATCTTTAATCCATTTTGACCTTAGCTTAGTGCATGGCAATAGACCTGGATCAAGTTTTAGTTTTTGGCATGTAGAGAGCCAGTTTTTTCCAGCACCATTTGTTAAAGAGGCTATCTTTCTTCCAGTAAGTGTGTTTGGCCCCTTTGTCGAAGATAAGGTGGCTGAGTGTATTTGTAGAGGCCTCTGCATCTTCTAATCTATTCCATTGATCCTCAGGTCTATTTTGTTGCCAATACCATGTTGATTTTATCACAGTAGCTTCGTAGCATAATTTCAAGTCTGGAATTGTAATGGCTCCTGCCTTGCCTTTGATGCCCAGGATTGCCTTTGCTATTCTCAGTCTTTTCTGGTTCTAAATAAATTTTAGGAACAATTTCTCTAGGTCTGGGAGATATATTGGTGGCAGTTCGATAGGAATTGCGTTAAGTCTGTACAATATCTTTAGGAGTATGGCCATCTTCATGATGTTGGTTCTTCCTATCCAGGAGCAGGGAATATCTTTCCATTTTCTGAAATCCTCTATGATCTCTTTTTTCACAATACTGTAATTTTCCATGAAAAGATCTTTGACTGCTTTGGTTAAGTGAATTCAAAGGTATTTCATTTTCCATGGTGCTATTGTAAGAAAGTACTGTTTCTCTAATTTCCCTATCAGTGTGTTTGTTATCTGTGTAGAGGAATGCTACTGACTTTTGAATATTGACTTTGTATCCTGCTATGCTACTGAATTTGTGTATCATTTCTATTAGCTTCTTTGTAGAGTTTTGTGTGTCTTCCAAATATCGTGTCATCTTCAAATAATGATAATTTAACTTCTTTTTTACCTATTCTTATTCCTTCTGTTTTTCCTTCTTGTCTAATGGCTCTAGCCAGTGATTTCAAAAGTATATTGCATAGGAGGGGTGATAGAGGATATCTTTGTCTTCTCCCAGATCTGAGAGTAAGAGATTTCAGTTTTTCCCCATTTAGAATTGTGTTAGCCGTTGGGTTGTCATAGGTGGCTTTTATCAAATTGAAGTAGAGGCCTTCTATTCCAATTTTCTGCAGGACTTGGAACATGAATGAGTATTGGACTTTGTCAAAAGCTTTTTCTGCATCAATTGAGATGATCATGTGGTTTTTAGATTTTGCTCTATTAATATAGTGTATTACATTTATAGATTTTTCTAATATTGAATCATCCTTGCATCTCTGGGATGAGTCCTACCTGGTTGTGGTGTATGATCTTCTTGATGATTTGCTGTATTCTATTTGTTAGGATTTTATTGAGGATTTTTGCATCTATGTTCTAGAGGGAGAATGACCTGTAGTTCTCTTTTTTAGTTGTGTGTTTCCCTGGTTTTGGAGTCCGTATAATACCTGCCTCGAGGAATGATTTTGAAAGGACTGCTTCCT